GGAGCCCATGTGGACATCACCAGCATCGGAAGAAGAGGTAAGTTTCAAGGAGAACTAGTGGTACCATATTCTGGTCCCTTCCTCAACCAAGTCTTCATTCCCACTGCCCAATACTGTCCCTTACTGCCTTCCACAAACTGGCTGTCCCAGCTGGTCCATAATGTCTTTGGTTCAGTTTACCATACAGCCATGACACCCAGTGCCCATACTGCCAAGTGTCTGGGCTGGTCACACTGCCCAAGGTGGAAATAGAGATGGCAGGTGGGCCTGGAGAGAGGAGGAAAGAGGGGCTGCTGGAGCCTCTCCTTCCAAACATCATACCATCTGCATCCCTCTGTCCTGGCTTCTCAGATGTCCTCAGCCTCCCTCCCTCCCTCTCTCTCTCTCTCTCTCTCTCTCTCTCTCTCTCTCTCTCAATCGCTCTCGCTCTGTGTGTGTGTGTGTGCGTGCGTGCGTGCGTGTGTGCATGCCCACCTGAGCATTTGCACAGTGTCCGTGCATTTCTCCCTCTGTCACTGGCTCACTCGCTCTCCTGCCCACACTTTTTTCTTCTAGAACCAGTTGGCAAGCTTAGAGCAGTTGTTGGATGGAATCCAGCTCTCCAGAGGAGGAAAACATAAACTTCATAACCTGCATTTACTTTAATGCAGGTTCCTGGGGCTGTTTTCCTCTGGCTTCTCTTTTCCTCCCCCATCTGCTCTGTCTCCATCACCTTCTCTGCCCCTGTATGTACCCTGACATATACATGTGTGTGTGTGTGTACACACACACACACGCACACACTATGCAGGTACACATGAAAGCTGGGGATGAACATTGAGCAGAATGGAAGGAGTACAAATTCTGCATGTCCATTGATGGGAGAAGGCACAGTCCAGGGTCCCCCACAGGCTCCAAGGGATGCCCACGTCCTACCTCCAGTAAAGATGAGCACAAAGGGGGCTTTGAAGTTGGCCTGCCTCAGGGAGGGAGGGGATGCTGACATTTCATAAGGATGGCCAAATGCGGAGCCACCTGGGAGCCAGGCCACAGGCCCGCTAGGAAGGGAGGGAAAGCAGGCCGGCCTGCAGCAGGTTTGTGAGGACTCTTGTATGGTGCTGTCAAGGTCAGCAGGTTTGGGTTCACTGAAGGGTCAGGATGGTTTGAATTACTAGCTCTGCCACAACTAGGCTCTGAGACTCATGACTGACTCCCAGCCCCTGCGCCAGGCCCCACCCTCTCCCAGCCTGTCTGGCTTTTCCACTGCTATGGGCCAGAAAATGAGATCTCAGACAGCCCCAAGGCCGCCATGGCTCTGAGGAAGGCAGGATGAGGAAGGGTCGCTCTCTAGTCTCAATGGTCTAGAATGCTGTCGGCATCCTGGGGCTCTCAACCCTTCATTTTTCTTCAGATCCATTCCCAGGGGTTCCATGCTGCCTGTCTTTCCCCATTGCCCATTGGTCTGCAGAAGATGGGGGCACCCAGGAAGGTGGGTCCAGAAGCAGCAGGGTCAAGGAGAGCCTTGACCTCGCTATGAGAAGGGAAGAGCCCGTCCTGGGGGAGGAGAGAGGGAGGAGAGCAGGGGATTTCTCCAGGGATGCCCTTGCTGAGAGGGGGAAGGAGAAGCCAACCAGCCTACAGGGCTGGAGGGCAGCTGCCTAGGGGAAGATGAGGAATGGCAGACAGATTCTGATATGAGGGTGACAATAAGGAAAGGCATGGAGGACCTGTTTGCCTTTGCAGGAGCAGAGAGACCCAAACGATGCCCTCTGCATCAAGTCAGTACCTCCTCTCCTGGGGCTGCCAACCTGCTCTTGCTGTCAGTGTACAGAGAAAGCACACGGTTGCAGCGAGCCTCAGAATACTTTAACTCACTCTTGAGCCACAGCACCACAAACTAGCTGGGAAAGGGGAAATATACCAATGTGACTTTCATCTCTAGTGTAGGTCTACGAGTCTCTGCATGTGACCATCCCGCACAGCCATGGTTAAACTTGGTACCTCCCCACAAAAAAAACACGAGCTACTTCTAGACAGAGCCCACTCCGAAGGCTTTAGTAAAACATCAATACAACCTGCATTTGCTTCTGAAGAGTCACAGGTTCATGGCCAATGTTATCCAGATAATTCAGCTGAAATATGCGATCTAACTGAGATAGAAAAGAACCTGCCACAGGTACAGCCAGTCTCATTTCCTTGGTTATCAAGAACGTATAATCAGAATTACGAATGAACTTTCATAAGTGGGTTTCTCTCTCTGGAGTCTTAGTGACCTTTGAACTTAACTCTTTTTCGAACTGGACAGTAGCCAGGTTTGGAGTCTTTGCTGGAGATGAACATAAATTATTAATGTAGTTGAACCTCAGCACCTGCCTAGATGGGGGCTCCCATGATCGAGCTTTGCTTCCTGGACTGCTGAGGGACCTGTTGCACTGAGGCAGAGCCTGTGACACACGCTAGGTAGCATCTAGCACACACAAAGCCATAGAACCCCAGCGTGATCCACAAGGAGCCTTACTTCTCCCTTATGGCAGGTTTTGCTTTCCCTGGCTTCAGTTATCTTCCATCTAAAAATATTAAGTGGATGGGACTGGAGGGATGGCTCAGTGGTTAGGAGCACTGGCTGCTCTTCCAGGGCTCAATTCCCAGCAACCACATGGCAGCTCACACCTGTCTGTAACTCCAGTTCCAGGGGATCTGGCACCCATGGCTAAACACCAGTGCACATAAAATAAATAACATCAAGTGGAAAATTCCAGAAATAACAATTCATAGGGTTCCAGTCATATATCTTTCTGGGTAGGACGATAAAACTGAGCTGCCTGCTCAGTCCCACCCTGTGAGCAAACCATCCTTGTGCTCAGTGTATTCCTGCTGGTCACTCAGTGGCCGTCTCAGTTATCGGATTAATGTTCACAATAGCAAACTATCACTAAAATTGTTCTGCTTTATCATCGTTGTTGTTTATGTCTAACTGTGCCTAATCTATACATTCAACTTTTGTATGTATGCATTGGGAGAAACAAAGCCTGTATAGACAGGATTAGGCATATAAAGCTCCCTATGGGTTCAAGTGACTGCCAAGGGTCTTGGAGAGACTTCCTTATGGGTAGGAGAGGATTATGGTATTCTTAAGAAACCAGTCAGATAGCATCCTCCTCTCTTACCAACTCGCTCTCACTGAACTCTCTCCCAGACATGTGTGTGTGTGTGCGTGTGTGTGTGTGTGTGTGTGTGTGTGCACTCACATGTGTGTGTAAGGATTCGGTGGGCACAATTGTGCCCAGGTGCTTGGTTTAGGCTAAAGAATCAGTCCAATCTCATCTTGTTGGCCCAAGGATCCCTCTTGCCTGTCTGGTCTTACCGTGTCTTCTGACCCCCTCTCAACACTTCTCCCAGCTCCTTCAGGCTGTATCCTGTCCCATTGAAACAGTGTGTAGTCAGCAAAACTTCCTCGTGTCCTTCTCATGAAACAAGCTCCAAGACCGAAGGCATTGAGAGAGTCAGACTCAGTTTACCGTCTCTGCCTCTAAATGCTAGCCCACATTCCTCCCAGGTCCAGCTGTGCTCACCTGCATACCCACCCCTAAGCTGCTACCATAGCAAGCTGTACCCAGAGATCCAAGGCCAGGACAGCTTCTCCTCTTCCCCAGAATCCCTCTTGCCTGTCTGGTCTCACACTGCTTCTCTTCCCATGGTTTCTCCAAAGGACATCTGGGAAGAGCTTGGTGACCAGGGCATGCCTGGTTCCCATTAATGAGATACACGAGTGTAAGCCAGCCATGGAGGCAGCCTACAAAAGGAGGCGATCACGGGCGGCCAGGAGCCGAGCTGCTCAGGTAATTGGTTTATCTATCTGGAAGCAGGGGGAGCAATCTCAGCACAGACAGACTAGCAGTAAAGTCTCTTCCTTAAGGCTATTTCCTTTGTCTTTTCAATTGCTTGCACATCCATGTGAGAGAGGGAGAGAGTGTTAAAGAGAGAGGGAGAGGGAGAAATGTTAATTTGTGAATTAATGGCTTTTCTCAGCGGAATTGTAAATTCAAATGTCACCTCACACGGTGACACCACCGCTGGTCTGCTGAAGAAGCAATGATAAGATCCCCCACCTCCCTCAGTGCCCCTCCCTCCCCAAAGATAGCTGCGGAGTGGAACATGCTACTTTTAATTTGCAATAACAACACAACAGAGGTATGCAGTAATGACTGCCTCTTCCACCCTCCTCCCAGCTTCCTGCCCCCCAGTCCAGGTGGCTCCCCCATTTCCTCTCTCCCCCTTCTGAAGTACCTCACCTCTCCACCCCAGCCAGTGGCTGATCACATGGGGGGTGCCTTTGGAATTGACGATGCTGCAACCCTCTCCTCTCCTTCAATAATCAGGGAATTAATGACCCTGAAGTTAAAGTGAGGCTGATACGAGGCCCTGCCCAGCGCTGGGAAAAAGCCTTCATTGTTTTCAAGCAGGAGGCGGGCAGCAGTGAGGGAGATTCATGGATGGAGATTGAATATGCAATTTTCTTTCACCTTGCCAAGAGCTGCCCCTGGGCTGTGCCTGGCCTAAATTTTTCCTTTTACCATCTCTGCCTTATCCGGCCCTCCCACCTCCCTTCCATTCTTTCCAGAAAATTACCTTCAAAATTGATTTCCACTTTTACAAACAAATATAATGGGAACACAGGAAAAAACTTGGGCCGTGATGAATTAGGGCTGTCAGGTGCTTCCAGGTCTCCTTTGCCTTTGTTTTACTACCCGATCTACTCTTTGTTTTTCCAAGGGCTGGAAAAACTGCCCCCATCCACTGAGCGGCTGACCCTCTGGGCCACCAGGCCTCAGCCCCAAACCTCTGCGGTGGCCCATGGTGGAAGGAATCCAGGCAGAGAGACTGTTAGCTTTCTAAGGCTCCCAGGAAAGTCTGCGCCTCTGCCTCCAGTTGGCTGTCTGCCCTTAGGACCCATGTCTCTAGCCACCACCCCCAAGCTATCCCCTTTGACCCCCACACCATGTTCCCTCTAGCCCTCATACCTCTTAAAGTCCAGACCAGATGCAAACCTCCACCTCCTCTAATGTGGGCAGGATCAGGGTATACCTCGACTAGAGTAAATAAGAGACAGACAGACACTGAGAGATCCCGAAGGACAGTCAGGTAGATCGGGGGCCAGATCCCCAAACTGGGAGACCAGGCTCCTCTTCAAAGAGCTACAAAAGTTCTGAGCTGCACATCACACACAGCCTGAGTGGGAAGGACTAGTTTTCTGCCTCAGTCTCCCTAGTCTTGGGGCCTGGCAACTCTCAGGGGTAGCCGTAGGGCAGCCCACTGATTTGCCCACAGATGTAGGTTGATACCAGTGGGTTCTTGGGGCTAAACTATATGCAGGTCCATGCCCAGGACCATGAACTCTCAACATGCCTGGGTCCGGCTTAGGATTCTGCTGGCTACTGATATCAGCATGGCCATGTAATACTCTCTGTAAGCTGGTGAATTACCTAGAAAACTGCATGCCTTCTCCACATGTGACATCCCACATCCCGTGACTCCCAAAGATCTCAGCGACATCACACACACACACACACACACAATACACTTACTTAAACCATAGAAATATTATATATGGTTCAGAAAACAAGCATATGTTCTCCTGGGTAGAGAAACAAACTCGCATGTAGGAATAGAAATGCCACAGAAAGACAGGGAGCCATGGCCCCAGATTAGAAAACAAAGGGACTTTCATAGTTACATGCATAGAAAAACTATAGTGGAAGCTGAAACATGACGAGCGGCCCATTGAATGACCACAGAATGACGTGGACAGGGAGAGGTAGACAAAGGTGTCTCAACCGTGCAGGTTAGGCCAGCTACCTCCTTCTTTCCAAGATTATTTTCTCTCAGAGTGACAAAGAGCCCCGTTGGGGTTAGGGAGTGTAGGCCCAGATAGATTTCTTTCTCTCACGGCTTCATTTCCTCCTCGAGAAGTCTGAACCTGCCTATTAGACTATTTTTTGCCTAGGTATACTGTGACCCATCGTCCAGGGTGGAGCTGGCTCAACACCCTAGAGCAGCGCTTCCCAACCTTACTAATGTGGCCACCCTTTAATGCAGTTCCTCATGTTGTGGTGCCCCCAACCGTAAGATTATCTTCATTGCTACTTCATAACTCTAGTTTTGCTACTGTTAGGAATCATAAAAAAAAAATCTGTGTTTTCTGGTTGTCTTAGGTGACCCCATGAAAGGATTTGGCCCCTAAATGCGTTGTGACCCACAGGTTGGGGGAGGGGGAGGGAAGTGGGAGGCGGTGGCTGGGAGGAGACAAAAATCTTTAATAAATAAATAAATAATTAAAAAAAGAAGAAGACTGCCTAGACACCTAAGGTTTTAGAAACTTCTCTGTAAGAAATCAGGGTTGAGCCAGGTGGTGGTGGCACAGGACTTTAATTACAGCACCTGGGAGACAGAGGTAGGCAGATTTCTGAGTTCAAGACCAGCCTGGTCTACATAGTGAGTTCCAGGACAGCAAGGTCTACACAGAGAAACCCTGTCTCAAAAAGCAAACAAATAAAAGAAGTAATGGTTGTTACTACCCCATTTGACAAAGGAGCTGGGGTGGTGAAATGACTTCCTCAAGGTCACAGAGTTGAGCAGCTCTAGGACTCCAGTCCAGTGTTCACAGTTAAGGCAGCGCTGTGAGACACCGCAACTCATCCCTGCTCCTTCCTTCCTAATACGCAGTTTGGAAACTTTCTCCACCTCAGCTTAGGGCACCTAAACATGTGTTGATCATTCCCATAGCTCCGTCCCCTCATGTGCTCCAAGCGTCACCTGAGCACTGGTCTTGGGAACTTCTAGGAGGAGACTAACCAAGGAAACAATCCTCTTCTTCCAGCATCAGTGGCATCCAAGGCAGAAGGGAGCTATTCACACAGTGACGGGACTCGGCCTTTTGAAGCCATGCAGCCTGTCCTGCCTACAAATGCACAACAGCACCAGCTTGGCACCACCCCATTGCACAATTCATTGTACACCTAATTAATGCAATACAAAACCACGGCCCCCCGCATGCCCACACATGGAAGGCTGACACCAACACACCTCCCTCCCACGGATCAGCAGACTCTCACCATATGACTGCATTTGGAGTTTTGGATAAGTTATCAAACTTCCCTGGGCTTCACCGGTGCCACCAGTGGACAGCAATGCACTGAAAAGCAGCTGCTTGCCAGGCTGTGGATTGAACCTAGGACCTTATGCCTGTTAGGCAAGCACTCTACCACGTAGCCACACCCCCAGTCTGGCTTGAGTTCCTCAGTCTGATTATAGATGGGCTGGTACAACCCTGTTTTCCAATCACAAGAGACAAGGTGTGTAATATTCAGGGAATTATGTTTAGAAATTCCCAGAGAAGCAATCTCTAATATAACTGCTCATGACCGTAGGCTGGAACTGAAGATTTCAACAGGGCATTGATAAAAATTTCTCCTCCTTGGACTGACAGACAGACTGTGTCCCAGGGCCTTCATGCATCTTTTCTTTATCTCCCCCTGGTCTTTCTGCCTAGGGTCCTGGATCCCTAGGAGGAGGGTTCAAGCTTCTTGAATGCCACATTTCTCCAAAGAAAGTCTGAATTTTTGCCTATTCCCCAGGTCAGAGCTTGGGAAGCAGTCTCCATCATTTCCCCCACCTCAACCCTGGGTCAAAGCCAATTGATTGGCCCTCGATGGATAGCCCCATGGTTGCCACTGATACCAGTGATGCTGTCCACATTCCAAGAGCCAGTGCCAGTCACATTCTGGTTATTACCAGTGCGATACCAGTCACTACTGCTGAGAAGGAAGGTCTGCACTGATGCCAGGACACACTGCAGGTATTGACCTTGCTAATGCCCACTGCCGTAACGTGGTTAGAACTAAAGAATGGGCCATGTTGTGAGGTGGAAACCAGAGTAGCAGGAGGGCAGAGGGATGCCCATCTTGCCTCAAGATAAGACACTTCTAGGGAGATGTCCCTCTATCTGAGGTCAAAGGAGGGTCAATATATTTGCTACATGTAGGAGTCTCCCAGAGGAAGATGCACCTGGTCCTCTAGTCCCTCTGGAGTCTGGTCCCTGAACATCCATCCCAATACTTTGCCCTCCCTCAGATCAGTCTCCATTTTACCCAGAGTCCTGGCCCAAGAGTTGAAGGACACACCTGGGTGTGTGTGTACAACCTATGCCCGAGGCTCCTACTGTGACAACTAACTGGCCTGCCAGCTGCTTTGCTACCTTGGCCCGACTGTGGAGTTGGGCTACATCATCTTGACACATAATTATCTCCCCATTCTTAATCATCTGAGCCGCTCCCTAACGCAAACTGGGCCCTGCTGTTTGGAGGCCTCTGGAGGGGGAAGGGGAGGAGTCCTCCAGGTCTCCCTTTACATCCTTTTTCTCCCTCTTCTCCTGTCCCACCTGGGTCCCATGGATCAAGACTGAGATGGTGGTCTGGGGAGGGGGGAAGCTGGCATCCCTCCCAGGGCCAGCTTCCAGGAAGATGACAGCTCCATCAGGCCTGGGGGTGATTTTAAAAAGAGAGAGAGAGAGAGGTAGAAACAGGGCAAGAAAACTCCCACAAAAAAAATTGGTGGGATCACTGATGTTTCTTGTAACGTGGTTAGGCCTAGCAGAGAGCGTCTGAGGCTCTCACCATTCCTCACTTGCCGGCTGCAGTTTCGTCCTGTGCTGGCACCGGAGGCCCCAGACCAACCCTGCTCCTGAGTCTTCCTGCCCAGATAGATTTAGGGCTACTCCTGCCTTCAGAGAAAAATCTGTCCTCTTCCATAGCTCAGTTTTGGTCACTTCCTGTGACTCTGTCTACTTGGGCTTCCTTCTCAAAGCTCCCCTTTTCCCCACTCAACTCGTTCTCGCTAAAGTCACCCTGCGACTGCTGTTCACAGGCTTGATGCAGCAGACAGAATTCAGGCTGACATTGTCCTCAAGACCCTCCTCAGCCATCCCCAGGGCCCTCCTCACAGGACAGCCCTTTTTGGCCATGAGTTCTCTCACTACCTCCTCCGTACAAAGGCCTGGCCAGATCTCCACCACATCGTATCTGATGGTCATTCAACTCTCTGGACGCAGTGTTTAACATATGTGCTAGAATATAAGCTTCCTAAGGACAAGAATTATATTTTGTTTGGCTTAGGGACCTTCTGTACTAAGTCAGCTATTCTCATAGCTGACAGTCTGAGTGGGGTGGGAGTGGAGGTTGCTGAATTGAACTGACTGGGAACAATGGATGTGAACAAGAGGAGTGGAGAGCGTTCTGTTCCTGCCCTGGCCAATTGGCCCAGCCTGGATAGCCCCAGCCTCCCTTGGCCGTCCATGAAGGCCCAGGCAGCAGAAGGCGCACAAAGCCACCACCTCAGACCAATAAGGGGTGCACAGAAGGGTTCCGGTGACCTTCCGGTCCCCCTGGACACCTCACACTCTAAACAAGGCAGGTGGCTAAAGAGAAACCCTCAGGGTTTGAGGCAGACTCTACCAAGGCACTCAGGGTGCCAGGGAGCTTGGCTAAGGCCTGGATGTCAGAAGCCCCAGGGAGAACCGGGGCTTAGGGCCTCTCCCGTAGTCTCCCTGTGCCCATCAGGGGCTGCCGCCAAAACAACCACAATGAAATTTAGTGAGTGGCAAAGGCCGTGGCAGCCAAATGGGTTTGGATATTTTGGAAGAAAGAGAAATCAAGCCAGACAAGCTGTTTCCCTGTGAAACGAGGCCATTAGGGCTCCTGGAAGGAGGCCAGCACCAGGTCATCACTGTCTTGCCAGGCCTGGGTCTCTCCTGCACTGTGTCCCTTCTCCTGGAGGCCAGGGCTCTTTTGCTGTCTTCCCTCTGCCTGGGTCTGCAGCTTAAGGAATGTCATCGTTGTCCCTGTCTCTGTTCTTTACCCCCTCAGGAAGGGCTTGTCTACACTTGGGATGACTACAGAACCTACTGTCCAAACACAACATTTTCCGAAGCGAAAGGAGACATGCCCGGTTCAGATGCAGGGACAACAGGCGTAAATTACGACTTCCTTGAGCTAATGGAACATACGGTCACTTCCTCCTTTATGTTCATCTTTGCAGGGTCTGTTTCATGGAGAGTATCTTTAGAAACCCGTACTCCTTGAAATGCCAGAGGTTACCACTTCCCTAGCTAGGACTATGAGAGAGCTGAAGCAGGAAGCTGGCCTGAGATATTGGCATCTGTGTTCATCTGAGGTCCCAGGCCTCACACACCAGAAGAAAACTAGCTGGCCACCAACGCACCACGAGTACCAAGCTTCCGAAAAGCACTTTGTCTCATGTTTATGCCTATCAGGCTCTCCCTTAATTTTCCTTCATCCCATGTTCTCCTCTTTAATTCCCCATTCCTCTTAACTTGGTCTATGCTACCCAAGGTACTGGCTCAGGGAAAAGGAGGAGAAGTGGGAATCAGAATGGTGTCCACTCTCATGATAAAGAGTAGGGTAAGGCCCTATGTCCAGCTCCCCAAGTGGTTTCAATGGGAGCAGTGTCCATGTGCTACGAGAAAGGACTCCAGGGCTGCCCACGTCCGCATCACCTGCTACCTCTAACTGGGATCAAGTGAGGCCAAAGCAGGCTGGCCTTTCATCCCCAGGTCAGATACCAGCTGTCTCCCCAAGCTCTACAACCTTCCCAAGGTAAACAGTTTATGCCACTCCTCCTGGCGTCCCACGGGGACAGCTGGGGTGAGTCCCAGCAGAAGGTGAGACCATCGGGGCTGAGCAGATGGTGAAGCTGGTGGCCCCAGCAGCAGCCTCCCTCCCTCGCTTCAGGAACCAGCAGGGCAGTGGGGGTACCTAGGCTTTGCTGCTAAAACTGATCTCACGGCAGAGCAGCTGCGAGGCCAGCAGAAACCGGAGCCCCTAGTACAAGGACAAAGCACGCAAAGGGGAGCCAAAGCGCTCCCTCCCCCTTACCTTCATCACGTTTCCTCTTCTCACCATTGGAGCGAGGAATCCCCAGGATCCCATTGATGGAGTAGGATCCCACTGGGTCATTAGAAGCGCTGGAAACGGGAGGGGAGGCCGTGCTGGGAACTGGATGAGAAGAAGGAGGGAACACCATCAGGATAATAGTTGTGACTGGAGCCCCGGGGCTGAGACAGGGGGGAACAGAGGGCAGAAGGACAAGGAGCTCATATCCTTTTCCTTCCTCTGAGGCTTGAGGGAGGAACACTCCCACAGACAGACAATGCAGGCTGTTAGCACTTCTGTCCAGCCTGAAGTGAGTGGTGACCAGTCAACCCAGGCCTCCAGGGCCACCTATGGCATTTACTGGTCCCTCAAGCCCCTCCTCTCAAACGGATGTAGTTTAGGCCCAGAAACTGTCAAGATTAGCTGTCTAGAAAGCACTTCAGTGACCTTCTGGATAGCACAGTTCCAAAAGACGCCCTCTGGGGCCACGTTTCTAGCCTCCACCTAATCCAATGGCTGAACAAATCCTTCCAAGCAAACCCCAGCTCACTGCTTCTTGGTCTCCTGGGCCAGCCCTGATTTAGCGTCTGAGGTTTCCCATCTCTGACACTTGGGGAGGCACAAAGCTGGTCTCAGTGTTTCTCTCTCTTTCCTGGATGTTTCTGGCCTTGAAATCACTGGAGGAGTTCCTACTCCCCTCTTGGGGACAGGCCAGCGAACACACTCACTGTGCTATGGTCAGCTCAGGTACAACTCAGGACACCCCACCCTCCAGCACATTAGCCCAGGCCTGGCTAAACAAAGGCTCCCATAGCCCCAGCAGAGCTGGATCTGTCTTTCTCCTGCTGGTCAGCAGGGAAGGAAAGCAAGGCAGTCAGTGTGCCTATGCATGGGGCCTTGGAAAGTTGCAGCAAGTGTTCTGGCAGGCCTGGGTTGTATCTCTGAGATCCTGTGAAGAGCTAAGGGGGGCAGAGAGGCAGGCAGAGAGCAGCAGAGGCAGAGGCAGAGACAGAAAGATGGGAGGAAACAGGCCAAAAGAAAAGAAGCCAGAAGGAATGATGCAGACAGACAGAGAGACAGATACATAGCTGTGCACATGAGGTGAGGGAAGAGGACTGGGAGAAAGAGAGAGATGGGGAGAAGAGAGAAAAAAATTTTAATTTTTTAAAAAAAAATTTTTATATTTATTTATTTATTATGTATACAACATTCTATGTATGCCCGCACGCCAGAGCAGGGCGCCAGATCTCAGTACAGATGGTTGTGAGGCACCATGTGGTTGCTGGGAATTGAACTCAGGAACTCTGGAAGAGCAGCCAGTACTCTTAACCTCTGAGCCATCTCTCCAGCCCTTTAAAAAAAAATTTAAAGGCTGGGTATGTAACTCCATGGGAAAGTGTTTGTCTACCGTGCATAAGGTTATGAGTTCTGTGCCTTCCTCCTCCCCTTCAATTTTTACTTTTTTTTTTTCGAGACAGGGTTTCTCTGTGTAGCCCTAGCTGTGCTGGAATTCTCTGTAGACGAGGATGGCCTTGACACTCACAGATCTGCCTGCTTCTGCCTCCCAAGTGCTGGGATTAAAGGTGTGTGCCACTGCTGCCCACCAATATTTATTTCTTTAAATTCATGTGTATGTGTGCACATATGTGCACATGCATGCCTGAGGAGGTCAGAACGCTATCAGAGCCTCTGGAACTGGAGTTACAGGTGGTCATGAGTCTTGCCTCACTTGGGTCCTGAAACCAAACTGAGTTACTCTGTAGGATCAAAAGGTGTTCTTAACTGCTAAGCCATTTCTCCAACTCACCCCCCCCCAAAAAAAAGATGTTTTTAAAAAGAGGAAGTAAAAAAGTAGATTTGAAACAATGTGGCATTTAAGGTGTACAGGAAGAGTGCATCAGATACAATAAATGATGGTGGAACAGAAGAAACACCCAAAGGAAAAGGCTGAGGGGCAGGAGTAAGGAAAGGAGAGGGAGAGGAGGTGAGAAGACAGACTGAGGAGGATGTGGGAGGCACTGAGCTGGCATCAGTACCCTAGGAGGGAAAGGAGTGATTGGGGATCACAGAACCATAGATCTCCCTGGAGTGGACAGTTCCCAGAGTTGAGTTGTGTTTTCTAAGTTGGTTTCCCTCTTTCCTGAGCTCTCTTACCGATGGTGTGGCCAGGGGCAGTCACTCCTGTCCCTGCGCCATCCGGTGTTGGGTGGAAAGGCTGCTGAACTTTGGTCCGAATGATCCTGCAAAGCATCACAACATCATTACAGGTCACAGGCCAGGCCCAGGCTCGCCCGGCCTGGCAGAGGGGTCCTGCTGAGCCCAGCGCAGGCTTCACCCAGCGCTGCAAGGCATGAGCTTTCCTTCCTGTCTATTCCGCAGTTCACTTAGCACAGCTCTCGGCAGAGGTGGTCTGCATGCTGTCCTGCCCTGAACACCAGCTGAGCTGCAGCTTGAGTTTGGACTGCAAGAATTAAGGCTCAGTCAAGTGGACCACAGCATGTTTTCCGTTTCTGAGGGGTGAGGCCCGCCCTGGTGGCTAGTGATCCACCTTCCCTCCTCAGTCACATTTATGTAGCCCCTAGTACCAGGAACAGCTGCGTCTGGAAGTCATTTTGACTGGCTTTCCAACTAGGACCGAAATTAGGGAAGGAGCTTCCTCATGTATTGAAGATAGGAGAGAAGGCAGAAACGCAGGGCTGGTCACCCATGATCCCACAACATCTAGTCTCTGCCAGGCGTCAGGCCCCTCACAACCGGCTCCTCATCTGGCTGGCTTACAGCCTCCCTTTCTTTTCTATGGTCTTCCTTGAGTCAGAGTTTCTTTACCAGACTGGTTGAAGAGCTAGCACCACGCTTTGTGCACCCCCGGGAAATAAAGGAACAAATGAAATCCTCTTGGGAGGGAGAAGCCCACCTCACAGGAGTCCAGAAAAACACAAGAGCCCCATAATGCGAGAGACCAAACCTAGGGGCTGGGCAATTTGCTTCTTCCTGTACCCTATCCAACTCAGCGTCGCTCCTCCCTGCAGAAAGCCAAGTTCACATCTACCCCAGGAAGCTGCAAGCTGGGAATCTTTCAACTACAGCGCGCTCTCTCTCTCTCTCTCTCTCTCTCTCTCTCTTTTTTTTTTTTTTTTTTTTTTTGGTTTTTCGAGACAGGGTTTCTCTGTGGTTTTGGAGCCTGTCCTGGAACTAGCTCTTGTAGACCAGGCTGGTCTTGAACTCACAGAGATCCGCCTGCCTCTGCCTCCCGAGTGCTGGGATTAAAGGCGTGCGCCACCACCGCCCGGCTCTCTCTTTCTTTTTGAGACAGGGTTTCTCTGGCTGTCCTGGAACTTGTTCTGTACATCAGGCTGGCCTCCAACTCTCTCACAGAGATTACCCCTGCCTCTGCCTCCTGAGTACTGGAATTAAAAGTGTGCACCACCACCACCCTCAGCTCAACTTGAGCTTTTTCTAATCACTTACAAGCACATAGTTGGAACACTTTCTCCAAGTGCTGGAAAGTTGGGGGAGGGGATTCATATTTAAAGACTGCCAGGTAGCCCAAGGCAATGAGGCCGCCAGGTCCAGAGGAAGAAGAAGCATCCCTTGAAGGTAGGGACCAGGGAGGAGAAGTGAATGAGGATGTGGAGCCTGGCACAGACCCACAGCAGAGCTAAGCCAATTGCAGGAGGGGCACAGGAAACAGTAAAAAGTGCACCAGGCTGTACAACAGAGCCAATGTTTGGTCCCTGTCACTAAGAAGCCACACAGCCTCACATTTATCACTTAGTGTCTTTGTGCCTCAGTGTCTTCAAGTGAACAATAATGGGCTCACAGTGACACAGCCTCTCCAAGGTTTTAAGACGAACAAGAAAATCGCAGCGCGTTATACACAGGTGCTGGGGCCGGGGACACTAATGAGGAAGCCCAAGCAGAACACAAGGCTGGGCTGGTGCCTGCACCTACAGTCAGAAGTAGCAGAGGTGTGAGCAGGAGGAGAGGAAACGGGGCTGAAAGCTTGCACCTGATGATAGAAACAGCTCTTTTCCACTCATTAAAATGGGTGCATCAATATTATATATAACCTATATGACCCCATATGTACTTCTGTTCATTTGCACAACTTCAGAAATAAGTACCATTGCCTTCACCTTGCAGATAGAAAACCAAAGCTGACGACAGTTAATGATTAAGGTTTCTTTAGGACCATACTGCCAGTTAGAGCGGAGTCTAAATTGCATCTTCTGCTACTTTACTATCCTTCCGTCATCATGTAAGAGTCAAGCCTAAGAGGTCTGGAGCCATGAGCAATGCTCAAACTAGAGGGGACGCGGTCAAAGTGATTGATCTCAGGAAGCTAATATGTCTGCGTGAGATACTAACGAGGGGGCAGAAAGAAAGAAAGAAAGAAAGAAAAGAAAGAAAGGTGAAAACCTTCAAAAGTATGAAGGAAAGAAATAAGGGAGACTGGTCGGGGTTTGATGACTAACTGGAGTCAAGCCTGGCTCTAAACCACTCCTGGATAGTGGAAACCGTGTGGCATGTACCATTGTGGACAACAGGTATGCAGGAAGGTGAATGGCATGGGAAGGAAGTGTGCTGTTGGCTCTGGATGTGTGAGGTGGGCAAGCCCAGGCATGGACTGGCGCAGAAAGGAGTCTACTGGAAAGGGACATGGAACAATATGGGAGGTTGCAGTTGTGGCCACCGGCAGCACCAATACAGAGCAGGGTAGCCTGACCTCAGTAGATGGAGGGACACTACCAGTGCCAACAGCGGCCATTAGTGACTTCCACGCAGCTGGAGCAGGATCCTGGCAAAAGAGGTGCAGGGAAGAGAGGGGACTTCTAAAAGATGACGGTGGTGTGGAAGTTAGAGGTTGGCCCAGTAACCACAGAGGGTAGGAAGGGTGATTCAGGGCAGGAAAGAGGAGTACCAGAGAAGAGGAAGAGGGCGAGGTTGCCAGGGAGACAACAGATGGAGGATGCAAAGCAGGGCAGAATAGTGGGGGACTGGAGTGAAGGACCAGGGCAGAGTTAGACAAAGACAACCAGAATGTCAGGAAGGAACTTCTACAGCTTTGTACCCTTAGCAGTCAGAAGATAGAGGAGAGGTTTTGAGTCACTGAGAGCAATACGACCCCACCTTTACAAAAGTGTAGAAGGTAAGACTTCTCCCAGGCAGCTGTTTCTACACAAGTTTCCAGTGTCTGGTGAACCTGCAGTGGCCCTGCTTAAAGACTGACAGGCTCTGGTTTAAGGAGTTCCAGGGCTGGGGCCAGGGCACACAGATAACTGGACCGGCTGGTGCAGTTCCTGTCTTTATTACCAGAGCCTCTGACCCCTGAGGCACTGATACAGATTTAGCTGAGGCAGCAAGTGATGGAAAATCACTATGCCCTGACAGCAGCTTGGTGGTGCATGGGAGAGAAGCTGGGCAGGGTGCCTGCTATGAGTTACTAAGGCTCTTGGTGCCCATCCATGACCACAGGCAGTGGGCACCTGCCAGGCACCAGAGCTGATCATATGGAATTTAAGAACTGGGGTTCTGAAAACTCTATGGTTATTTATATTCCTCCTACATCCTGAGCTCAACGTGAAAGAGAGGGCACTGCTCCTTTTCCCACCCGAGCAGACTTTCCCACACAGGATGCTCTTCCTCCTTCATTTCAGCAAGAGCCCACCTACTTGGTGCTTTACCTTGCTTCCAACAAAGGGACTGCTGGGATTGCAATGTCTCCCAAGGGTGCATATATAGCTAAAGGAATTCAGATCTTGGTTTTGCTTTTTTTAAAAGATGTTTCATTTTTATTTTACAAATATTTGCCTATATGTGTGTATAAATACTATCCACATGCCTGGTACCCATGGAGGACAGAAGAGAGAATTGGAACTCCATGGAACTGGAGTTGCGGACAGTTGTGAGCCATGATGTGAGTGCTAGGAAGCAGGCCTGGGTTCTTTACAAACTCAGCCAATGCTCTTAGCCATTGAGCCAGCTCCTGAGGCCTTGGTTTGTTCTGTCTTTGTTTGTTTGTTGTTTTGTAACAGGGTCTCACTATATAACCCAGAAATGCCTGAGTTGGTCCTCATGCCTCCCAGGTGCTGAGTGGTAGTAATATAGGCATGTACCGCCACCCCTGGACTCGTGAGGGGTTTGGGATATGGGCTCCAGGCTCAGTCTACCTGAGTCAGAACCCCAGCTCTGTTTAACTCTTTTTGGGAAGCCCTTGGACTTTTCTTACTCCTTTATCTGCGAAATGAGATAATACTACTATGGACTTCCCAGGGCTGCGGCGAGGATTAAGTAGGATAATTCATGTAAAATGATTAGAATGATGGCCGGTTCGATAAATGCTAGCTGTAATAATAATGTTCACTTGTGTTATTATCCCTGTGGGTGACCCCTGTGCCTAGCTGCTTTCAATTTAGGGGCCAAGCCAGGTGCAGGCAGGAGGCCTCCCTTCTTAAGATGCCCCAACTGGATCAATGCAGGTACTCCCTGGGAAGACATGGAGAAGATGAACAGCAGCAGGAGCCAAGGGCTGATCCCAAGAGGTTGCAATCAGAAAGACTTCCCGGAAGGCAGGCTGCGCCTGGACTGAGTTCCGCCCAAGTGCCCTGGGATGGACCCACAGAGGACTCAGGTGATGGCAGCGCTTCAGATGATGAAGCAGATGGTGAGGTCACTTCCTCTTTGGTTAAACTCCTAGGAGACCTCCACTTCCTCCCACCTTGAAGATCAAAACAGTCTCAGGTGCTCTCCCAGCAAGCCTGTTACCTTTGTGAGGAGATAGCTCAACCTTCACTGGGAAGTCGGACTCCTACTTAACCCTTCTCTGTCTTCCTTGGTCTCTGCATCTCTGTCTTGGCTCCTCTTTCTCCCTCTCTGTCCATCTGTCCATCTCCTTGCACCCTGAAGTCCCACTATGACTGTGTGAGTTTATTGATTCCCGGGAGCTGGGGGAAAGCGGGAGGTAGGGCTGGGGTGCAGGGCTCTGGGATGGAAATAGAAGGCTATAAATTATTTGTGACAGGAAAGCAATAGTGGCAGAGTGCTGAGCACAAGTCCTGTGTCACTATTAGATTCCTTTTAGCCTGATGACACTGTAAAAAAGGTTAAGTGTCTGCTGGAATCGTACACCTGGGGGGCCGGGTTGGCCTGGGAGCAGAACAAGCCACCGAGAGCAGGTATATCAATTCTCTAGGCCAATAATATTCCTCTCATTGATCGCCACGCAAAGTTCAAAAATCTC